TACCTTTAAAAATTACTAACCTTTATTTAGTCCACAAGTTGCTGTCCCCCTTTTTTCCCCCTAGACTACATTTGTTTAAGCCTAGGCTTAAGAGAGTCGTTTTAATATCTTTAAAAAAACTAAACATTTTATTAGAGATAACAAATAGTATAAAAGGTAAATAGAAAAAAGTACCAAACCTTGCATCCGAAAGCCGCAAGTTTGAGGATACATTCGAGCAGAAAGAATGTTGTGAACGCTTCGTTCATGTAGATTAAAATGTCAAGGTACAAATTGCTTGCCTTGTAGTACTACAGCGGCAGGAAGGTGGAAAGAGAGAAAAAAAGAAAAAAAAACGGGGTAGCAGGATTCAAACTTACAACCAAGTTTTACAAAAATATCCTTAGGATTGGAGGGTTTTTAGGTAAAAACCTGCAACCATTTAAAACCAAGCATCCGTATTTTCTTCTTATAATCGATGGAAGCTGTTAAAAGTAGCTTCTATTTGACTGAATAACTAACGCAAATCACTTTCAGTGGTTAATTAAATTGTGACATTTCTTTTGAGACGATCATATTTAAAAAAAAAAAAAAATCAGTTTTTTGAAGAAATTCAATTGGAATTTCCCAATAATATGTAAAGAACTAAACTTATTGTTTGGGCTCAAATCATCCTTTTTTTTTCAAAAACAGTCATAATTTTTATTATTCAAAGGGCCGCATGCATTACCCGTACTTAGAATTTGTTGCTTATACAGTATCATGCAATTTGTTAGTTTCATACTCAGCTAGACTTAACCAAGCAATCCTCTACCGATGCCGAGGAGCTCTTGGTAGGTCTAGCATGTGCTCGGCTTTATTTGGGCAGAAAATGCACGAGGCAGGCAACAACATGCTATGTGGTTGCAAGCAAATAAACGAGCAATAAAACTGAAAGAAAAGGTAAAATAAACAAGTCTAAAGAAGAATGCTTTATTGGAAAACTTTTGACACGAGTCTTTATGCCATTAATGTTTTGAAACACCACTTGGTAACTCTTTTAAATCGTTATATGACCTATTAAAATATTGTAGTCAAAATACGTAAAAGTGTTCTGTGTTCACTAGGCTTACTATATAAATTAAATATTCTCACTTTACTCTCACATCTAGCCGATAAACAATGAAACTTGGCTTTTCAGTAGACTAAAAATTGTCATTAAATTTCACTTCCTTAATATATATATATATACGAAAACTGTTGAAATACCTTTCCAAAATAATAGTTTAAATCAAAGGTGTGAAAAAAAAACGGTGTAATATAATATTTTATATATCTACAAGTGTAGTACCAGTGCCGTATGATCGAGAATTTTAATAAAAAGCTTAAAAATTGTGGTTAATCTACAAGATTACGACCAAACCAATGGTAAGTTATCATGATGCTGCTACACAAGATATTAGAACAATAGAGTTAGCAAGACACTTTTTTTTTCTATTTCATCATTCAGGTTTCAGTAAGCGTATCACATGCAGCAATCTCTACATCCTGGTTAGAAAATTATCAACTAAAGCAACATGGTATTTTTTACGTTATTTCCTATTTTTAGTGAATTCTACTATGGTGTAATTCTCAAGCAAATTCAAGTTTAAAGTCGTTTGGAGGTAATATTCAACATGCGATTTGCAATAACTTGCAACGTAACTCTCAATTAATTATTCAACTCTTTATATGTTGTTGTCGTTTTTTGTCATAATCACCTAGCTCTTTAGGAAAACAGTAGCTTTAATTTTAGAACTGTCTTCACTACATTTCAATCAAGCTCATTTAAAGAGTCATGTTCCCAAGGTAGATAATATCCCCGTGTTGCGCTTTTTATACCATAACAAGCATGTTTCAAATTTCTTTGTTAAAACTTTGCTTAATCTGCAGTTAAGATAGTTTGACGGTAAAAACTAACAACATTGTTTAACACCTTAGTTACAGATATAACGCCATTTGGAGCTTATTATCCCATGTATAAGGCATTTTGTTGGTCGTTCTTTAGCATTAAAACAAAAGTCACCATCTCGATACCCTCATTCGTCGTACGTTTTTAAGACTACAAGTCGAGCTATGCCCTTTGTTTCGTCGACATAAATACATTTGACTGCAGCAGTGTGAGATTCAACAAATCATTCTGAAGTCCCAAAAGGGATCGAACAAAGGAAGTAAATCCTCATCAAGTGTCTTACCTCTCAGGAAGAGGGTGGATTTCTAGAAGGGTTAGGAAGAACTCTTAAATGGACGAAAGGCCTGGACGGTATTGGATAATAGCAGATATGGTGTGATTAACATGTTATCAGACATCTTTATATTTTTCCGTTCAGAAATCTTTGTTAATAATATCTGAAGACATTGAAAGATGTTCTACGAGATCTAATACATGCTTCTATGGACCACAAGTATTATACCTATAACACGAATTGGAGCTTATTATTGATAAAGCAGCACAGTAACTCTTTAGTAGATAACATACATCGTGATGAATGGATTGACAGGTTGCTGGTAGAACCACTTCCGAAAACGTCTTAGCTTGGCTAAAAGTATAACTTGCTGAAAGTCCAAGAAAAATAATTAAAAACGTCCCACTAGGAATAAACACTCAGCTAGCAACGTAGTTAACTAAACAGGTGCTACTTGTAAAATAGAAGCGATTTTGACAAAAATATTTCATTAATGGTTGAGAAGAAAGCGCACGAATGGAGATTTCGAATGATCGAGTTGATCAAAAATGGCGTAAGACGATATGACAGAATCTGTTGGAATTCAACAAAAGACTTTGCAAGAAACATGCAACATGGGAGTACTAATCTCAGAAGATGTGAGCAAAAAAGACGACACATAACAAAATGCAAAGTCACTTTTCGATAGACAGCTGTATCCACAATTTACTAAAATTAAAATTGTAAGTTACACTTCTCAGTATTGGTGAAAACATGATCTACTACAGCTTTCAAAGTTTAATTAATACACACAAGCTTTCTTTAGATAGACTTAATCCTCGTAGGTTCTTTTTAGATAGAACTAATTCCTGTGAGCTCTTTTTTAGGTGGAGTCAATTCTCGTTAGCTCTCTTAGAATGTAGTCAACATTGCAAACTCTTTTTTTATACAATCGGTTGTCGTATGCTATCTTTCTATGCAATTAATTATTGTAAACCATCTATGGATAACGTCAGTCCTCAAACAAGTTAAGTTTTTTTTATTTCGATAGTCTTTTTCCTAATAGACTGTATTTACAGGAATTCAAGCTTTCTTTAGATGGATTCAATCCTTATAAACTGTATTGATGGAACTAATCCTTGTAAGCTCTCTTTCGGTGGAGTGAAACCTCACAAGATCTCGTTAAATTTTAGTCAATCCTTATAAACTGTATTGATGGAACTAATCCTTGTAAGCTCTTTTTCGGTGGAGTGAAACCTCACAAGAGCTTGTTAAATTTTAGTCAATCCTTATAAACTGTATTGATGGAACTAATCCTTGTAAGCTCTCTTTCGGTGGAGTGAAACCTCACAAGATCTCGTTAAATTTTAGTCAATCCTTATAAACTGTATTGATGGAACTAATACTTGTAAGCTCTCTTTTGGTGGAGTGAAATCTCACAAGATCTTGTTAAATTTTAGTCAATCCTTATAAACTGTATTGATAGAAATAATCCTTGTAAGCTCTCTTTCGGTGGAGTGAAACCTCACAAGATCTCGTTAAATTTTAGTCAATCCTCGTTAACTTCTTTTATTGTTGTGTTTTTGTTTGTTATTAAACACAAAGCTACACAAAGGGCCCACCATGGTATCGAAATCCGGTTTCTAGGGGTGTAAGTCCGCAGACATATTACTGTGCCACTGGGGGGGGGGGAGCAAACTTCTTTTAAACGGAATCAATTGTGATAATTTTTCTTCAGATGGAGTCAATCGTCTGAGCTCTATTTAAATGTAATTAATTTTGGTAGTCTCTTCAGATGGAGTCAATACTCACTCAATCCTTTTAAATGAAATCAACTGTGGTAATCTCTCTTCAGATGGAGTCAGTCCTCGTAAGCTCTATTTAAATGTAATTAATTGTGATAGTCTCTTCAGATGAAGCTAATCCTTGTAAGCCCTCTTTGGGTGGGTTAAATCTTGTTAGGATCATGTAAAATAAGTCAGTCTTTGCATGCTCATTCTATATTAGCCAACTCTTGTAAACTATTTTTTTAGAACAATTCAATTTTCTAGGCGACTTGGGATGGTGACCATTGTTTTGGCAAACAAAAGATGACCATGACATATAGAAGTGGACTTGAAAGCCATGCACGTGCCACCGGTGTTATTATTTTTCATTTATTTCTATGTCAGATTGACCTTCATGATGGTAACGTGTATAAAAAATATATGCTTCTGAACCAGCACATTAAATATCCTTTTAGTTAATGGTAATATCCAGAATAAGAAACACTTTTCAAAGTAGACAGTGTAAATAAGCACAATATATGTGTTTTCTTATTTGCTACACGATTTTTTGGTTCTGATGACAAATGATACAGGTAATAACTCAGTCTCTCACACATTATTATCACTACAGTCAAGCTACGCCAGAAAAAAGAAAAGTTAAAATTATAATGGTACATAGTCTATAATGTGTAGTGACAGAGGAGCGGTACAGGAAAAAGAGGCCAACCTTGGTAATATGTATTCCTTGTTTTTACCAGTACATATCTCTTGCAGGCTATTTAAATTTAACGAACAAATACGAAAATATTAAAGAAGCAAAACATCTTACATCGCCAGAAGATGAAGCAAGATACAAAACAATTTATATTCCTGATTTCAAAAGGAAAAGCTTACTGCAAATTTTATTTAAAAATTATATATTAGTAGAACGCAAAATCTTCACGATAGCAGTGATTATTGCATATGTGTGTGAACAGTTAGCGTGTGTTTATCTTGCAACTAGCGACCTCTACTGGAGATATTATCTAACTTGAGTGAATTAAATATACACTAATCACATCCCTTTTCTTACCCTGACTCCAAATGCAGCCAACTTCAATAAGCATTCAACAGTAAAGAAAGCAGTGAAGGCGGCGTTCATGTAGTGCAGAATATTCTTGAGAAGATTGCTCTGATTGTAAAACTAGAAACAGGACGAGACACAAGAGCAAGGAAATAAAAGCAAGACAAGTGAAACATCTCAACAACATAGTCATCACTCTGTATAAATATAAATACAACATAAACACAAACAACACTCCACAAAATATGGTATGAAACTAAAATTCAACGAAAACAAAATCAAAACTGAAACCCTAAAGTAAGGAAAATTATTTTGAGAGTGAAAATTTACTAAAAGAAACATTAAAGAGTTCTGTTTTCAATAATGCTTTTCCTCCTTTTATTTAATGCAAATTTAGAAAATTTCCGAGCTTTTTCACAAATCTGTAATATTTGCTTAATGAAAATGCCCCATTTTTTTTCTGTTGACTAGCATTATTGGCATCAAAAGATATTCTGTAGAGTTAAGAAAAATGAGGGAAAAAGTAGGGTTAACCTCAAAAATGGCACACACACACAAAAAAAGATCGCTATTCATCATAACATAGTGAGGTTACATCGGTCGCAGAAAACTACAGTGTCCTTCTTGTAATATAAGAACGTCTTTGATACATAATAATTTATAACGGGTGACTTAATAAACTAGAGCCAAACAGCGTATGGTTTTATAAAAGAAAGTTGAAGATTTTTTAGTATTTTCTTCATTTATAAAACAGCTCAGGCCAGGGGTTGGCTCAGTATTTTCTCAATGGATTTCAAGTCAAGCTGGTACGAAAAAAATTAATTCGCAATCAGTAGTTCCTACTGTACAAAAACGTACTTTCTTTTTCCACAGGCATAAAACAAGAACATTATTCCAGCCATTATCTATTTTATATTAAATATATTTAACATTTTCCCAGCCAATTGTTACAAATATTAAGCGCACACGACTTGTCAAACATAAAGCATGATTAGTTTTACGTTCTGTTTAACCTGATGGTCAAGCAAGCAGTAGCGACAAACCAGAGTAGGTGCTCTCTTCTGATTAATTAATTTTTTTTAAAACATCAACGTAAAGACAAGCAAAAGACGTAATTTACAGAAGATAAGCCGTGGCATTGTGGGTGAGCAGAAGAACAACCACGTTTTATACTCAACATTTACACAGCCTAGTTGCCATGCCAGCCGCACACACACATTCCCCGTCGGAAAAGACATGCGTGTTTTTTGTTGTTTTTTTTGTAGACAGTCGTGACGGGTTTGAGGGTATTTCATGATCTATCTCTCTATATTACATATACATCTTATCATTTTTAAGTATAAATAGCTCATTAGCTGTATATTCGAAATGTTTAAAAGAGGAACATGAGCTTAATTAATTAACTTTTTATCAATGAAGAGGTTTTAGTTTCATTTACATGATGTAACTTATATTTGTATATCAAATTCTGACTGATAATGCGAATCTCATCATCAAACCTTCATATCACAGATATCGCATCCAGCTTAGTTCATTTCCATTTTCTGTGGATCATGAAATAGCCTTAAAGAGCATTCATGTAAAATAAAAAGTCAATTCAGTGCTCAAGACTAGTTTGCATGCAATGTAATTCGTTTTTTTTTTCTTAGAATTTCCATCAAAAAGACTCTTGCCAATTCCTTCATTTCCGACTGAAGTTTAATAGTTTCAAAAAGGATTTTAACTTCACATGCTCAGTTTCATACAAAGCCCTGTCTACACTGTGATAGTTTGCTTTTCGAAAATGTCTTATTTATTTTAAACATTCGGACAAAATGAACGGCGTTTATGTACTTCGAACATCCTGTAGAAAGTGTTTAGACAAGTTATACCTTAGCGTAACATCTGATGTAGTAACTTTCTGTTGAACGATTCTTATATAGTTTGTGTAATACGTTTGTACGTTTATTCTGAACCTATCAACAATATAGGAATTTTCGGTGATAACATATATTAACTCTTAAATAATTCAAAAAGAGCTGTACAGTTTGTTTGTTTCGTATTTTCCACAAAGCTTCACAATAAGCTATCTGATCTGATCCGTGTCTGCCTTAAAGCTCTTGATGTTTACTGCTGAACCACCTGAAGACAGAAAAATTCTCCCTTTATACTGTTTAAACAGGGAAATGTCTCGATAAGGTGTGAGTAGCAGTTTCAAATTTTATTTGGCTTATAGTAAAAAAAGGTAAATATAACTTTCAGTTAATCCACTGGTATTCATGCCATGGTTATTTATATTGAGAAGAATGGTCCAACTTTCGAAAGCACTCTGATTACAGGGTTTTTGTATTTTTGTCTTGAAAGGAATGGTCATTCACTTATATCAGCATGAGAAGCTGAATTACTGTTAAAACTCGAACAACGTTGATTTTGAGAAGCTTAACACTAGTCTGCTTCTTAACACGCTGTGAAAATCTGTTGCTATGTCTTGACGCTACTTTTAAATAGTCCTACAGACTCTGAGTTAATGGTTCAAGTCCAATTACTGTAAAAATGTGCTCCACGCTTTAAGGCCATGGGTGCAAAATACGGATTTTTTTGCCAAATTCAACGATTCAGTCAAACAGAGTAATCCAAGATTTAGCTGCTTTCACTCTAGTCTATTAGTTCAAAATTATGGATGGCTATGTGCAGATGTACTTTTGTGCAGCTTTGTGCGGAAATTCTAAAGCAAACAAACAAAAATTTAAATAGCCAAATTGAAACCATTTAGAACAAAAGAACTATAGCAATGAAATATATTACTTAATTTTTAAGCTCAGCTGATAGCTAGTAAAACCATATAGAAGCTTATTAAAAATCATCTACTAATTCCTTGATATAACACAAAATACAGCAATTGTACATAATATGAATCATTCACTCAAGTTTACGAAACAATCTGATAAATTAATCAACTTGTAGTTCTTTAGTTTCTGTAAATTTTTAAAGGCCAATGACAGTTTTTACTGCATTAATAAGAAAAATAATTAAATACTTGAAATATTTTCTGTAAATTGACCAGATTCTAGAAAAACAAACTATAACAGTGTAGACAACAGCTCAATTTTCACAGCTTTCACTAAAATATTTTCCTTATGTGTTCACCATTTTTAATAACTTCTATTTTGTGTAACTGTTTGACAAGAATATTTATAAAATACAGCTACAAATATAATATGCATTTCATGCTAAAAAGATCTTAAAATAGTAACTTTAAATACATTTAACTCATTTGAAATATGAACATATTAATCATTAACAACTAAGAAAGGAACATTGTCTTTGACTTTTCCAATAATATATCAATAACAATTAAGTTAATGAATAATTTTGAGAAATGATAAAAAATATGGTATAATTTTGCTTGACAAAAATTTGGTTAACAAAAGAAAGAAACATTCAACAGATAAAACTGTAAGTTAAAAGTTTAATTTAGATTCTCAATTAACTCAGACTGTTAAAAATGAATCATATTTAATATACAAATTAGTCACTAGAGAGACATTTGATAGATATCTAAAAATAAGATGGAAAGTTTAGCCAAACAGTTAAGTTGAAAAAGAATAGTTAACTTATTTTACTCAGTTCATGAATGAAATATGAATTAAAATCTTAATTTGTTTTTAATATTAACAAAATTACCAATAACATGCTGAGAAAGTCCAAAATATTTTTTTTTACAACTGGTTGAGTATCTTATATTTTAAATATTGAAACAGCGTAATTAAAAAAAGGTTCATTAGATATTACCACATTGGTTCAATTATAAGGCAATGTTTTTTGATTAATAATTAGGCTGGAAAATTCATAGATGGGTTATAATCATGACTGACCACAGGCTCCTTCCTCCTACTCTAGCCTGTCGCATTCTTAACGTCCACATATATAGCATCCATTTACGCATGTGCGGCAGATGTTCGCTCCAGTTCATCACTAATTATTGCAACCAATACACCTGCAGGCTGTTCAGTTATTGTATTGATTTTGCAGGCCTAAAAAAGGATGTTATGACATTAATTTTTTCTTTCCCATGGTTTCTGAAAATGGGGGTCGCCTTATATTTGACATCACCCTATAATTGGACCAATACGGTATTTATATTTGTTAATGTGATAAAATTGATATTGTTAACTTATATTTATTTCTAAGTGAAAATGTTCTTCCTAATAGTGACATAAGCATTAGGCTTAAGTATTTTCAAGTAAACTACAATAAAACATATGAAATAAAAAAGGTAAGTAACAAGTGTTTTACATTTTTTGCATTCAGATAGTTTCAAATTTTCTTTTATCTTTTTGTACACGTAGGTGGCAGAAAGTTTTACTTAAGTAATACGAAAGGATTATGATTCTTGAACCATAAATATATTTTTAAAAAATTAAAACCTCTATTAAAAAATCTAAGAATTTTTTGTACAAAGCAAAAATTTCTTCCAAATGATATACTATAATGAGAAATGAACAAGATCTTTTAACCTAAAAAAAAAAACGACTTGCAACTTACCTTCATCATCAGTAATAATGTATTGAGAACAATGAGAACCATGATAAAGTACTCAAAGCCTGTTGATACAACCAGTTTCCACAATTTGTATTTTATACTGTCTTTGTTTTTAGGCATATAGCGTTGAAGCGGTTTGGCTTGCAATGAAAAATCAATACAAGATTTCTGAAAATATATAAAGTATTTTTTATTTTTATTTTAAAAATACATAATTTTAATTAACCAACAAAAAATTGAAAATACAGCTAAAACTTAAATATACAGAATTAGCTGAACTCACATTGAAAGCTAGGGAAGAATGAGAAAAAACAGGATGCTGAAAAAGTTAATTCATATGTATGAAAATGATTAAAAGTAGAAAAACTTTTGATAAGGTTTAAGAGTGGAAAATGAAAGAGTATAAAAGAAAGATGCCATATGCAGAGAAAGAGTTACAGATAAATGTAAAATAAAGAAAACTGGACAGTACTGAAATATATATAGAAAAGAAAACTAAAAAATGGGAGAGATTACATGAAAAATAGGCAGAATAAAAAGTAAACGAAGAAACCAGAAAATATAAGAAAGTTTAGATTAAGTATGGAGATAGGAATGAAAACAAAAACAAGAACAACTGAAAAAGCTTAAAATATAACTACAATAAAATGGAAAAACAAAAAGGTAAAAAACTTTGAGAACATTGAAACTTAGTGTAGAACAAAGAATGCAACAAAAATTAAGAAAACTTAAACAAATGTTAAAAAAAAGGAAAAACCAAGAAATGGAAATCTTGAAAAAACTCAAACTAAATGATGACAAAATAAGTTTGAGAATAAGAAAATTAAATAATTTAAGGAAACATTAAATCAACACAAGTAAACACAAAATAGCTGGAGAATTTGAAATAGTTTAAAAAAGATATATATATACAGACACCCAAAGATACACACTGAAAAATAAGAAAATTAATTGGTTATATAAGTAAAATAATTCAAAATCTTGCCCCTCAGTGGCACAGCAGGTATGTCTGTGGAATTCCAACACTAAAAACTGGATTTCAATACCCGTGGTGGGCAGAGCACAGATAGCCCATTGTGTAGCTTTGTGCTTAACTTCAAACAAACAAACAAACAATTCAAACTCTTCCTGGGTGTTTTTAGAATTTTAATACCATAATTATATAACATAATTTTCATTCTGCAATTATTCAAAACTAACTGGTTGCTCACGAACATAAAATGTTAGTTTCTTTACATAACTTAAGTACCTTTTTCTACTACTGAAATAAAAATTTTATTTATTGATTAACATAGTTTAGTTAAAAAAATATATGCAAATACAAAAGGAAGAATTGACACAGCTATTCAGAAATTACCCTACTGTACTCTGTGATTGCATTTAAAAATTATTTAGAAGTAAGTTATTTAAAATTAGATAAACAATTCTAGCTGTCTGTGATGGTACTTTTCAGGAAAAGTTTACTTTTGTTTTACAAAATAAATATAAAATTATGCATCCAGTTGAGGCAACTGCACTTTCATTTTCTGTAAAACCATAATGAACTGTCCAAATATTCACACAAAGATTATTTACATTTTAGTCAATTTTAGCATACTTCAAGAAAATGAAGTTATTTTTCGAAATAAGTAGTAATTTTTTACTCAAAATAATGAATGCTTTTAGATGTATTTTCTATGAAGATATTAGTGGTAATATGACCCTACACAAACTTATACAGGCATCTGTGTTACTTGCAGTTTGTAATAGTAGTTACATTAAAAAATCCTACACTTTCTTCAAATGTTTCAAGGTCAGTCTAAAAAAAATCACCTTTTATATTCATTTTAATTGTAATGGGCCAAACAACAGCTTAAAAAATGTGTTTTGACAGCAGAATTCAATGAATCACTGAAAAAATTCTACTTTAGGAAAGTTTTAAGTATACATGAACAAATCTATTACAGGGGTAGTTTGTTTTTTTTTGAATTTCGCGCAAAGCTACACGAGGGCTATCTGCGCTA